AAAAAAAAAAAAGAAAAAAGAAAAAAATTTTTGTTAAATGGAGGGGAGGGGAAAGGAAAAAAAGTTTTGTTAAGTGAAATGTGGGTAATGCATTAATATATCTGTACAAGTTCTTTATGTATTTGATAATAAGCTTTCTTTTATATATATCATAACATTTTTTCTTGATTATATAATCTTTTTCTTGGATTCATTTTGATATATAGGCATTTTTAATCGGTATATTTGAATCTATCTGTTAACCCAGAGATCTCACTAAAATATTGTCCAACCTCTGAGTTTTCTTTTAATTTATAAAGAAAGTGCTTACAACTTTGAATCACATAGGATTTATTATGCTGTTTTGTGAGGGGTATGAGTTTGAAGTCAATTTTTCTTATTATCTAATTATCTCTAAAAGAGTTACAACATGTATTAAATTGTTGCATTGGTACTATTTGTCAAATATACTACCTTTAAGTAATGACTCTATATGGAATTATATTCTGTACTATTTAGTTAATTACATCTTAATTAAGATGATGCTGCCAAGTTATAGCCTAATGTTTGAATTATTTAATAGAAAAATGATAATAAATATTTAATTCAATCCAGAAAATATTAAAATAAAAGAAAGCAATTGAAGGAATTATTATACAATAAAAACAACAATGAATTAGAAATTAACAACCTAAGCTCTGGATATTTGAAAAGATAAACGTGATTTTAAGAATGAAAAACGGGGTTCCTAGGTCTCTGAGACCTGAAGATTGACAGTGCCTTCATACCCTAGAGTCTATGCCTCTGCAACTGTCATCACACCACAAAATGAATATATTGAATTACACCATAAACGCTATGGATATCATTTGGATTACCATGAGAAAAAAAGAAAAAAAGAAAATTGAGAGTCTCATGAATGGTCAAAGAAGGCAAAGAAGAGAATTGGTCTGAAGGCTAAGCTCTACCATAAACAGCGCCATGCTGAGAAAATATAAATGAAAAAGACTATCAAGAAGCATGAAAAGAAAAACACCAAACAAAAGAATGATGAAAAGACTCCACAGGGAGTACCTGCCTATCTGTTGGACAGAAAGGGACAGTCCTGAGCCAAAGTACTCTCCAATATGATTAAACAAAAACGAGAAGAGAAAGTGCCCAAAGTTTGTGCCCAGAGAGAAACAGAAGTATTAAAACTTATTCAAACAGGAAAGAGAAAGAAGAAGGCATGGAAGAGGATGGTTACTAAAGTCTGCTCTGTTGGATATGGCTTTAAGAAAAAAATATAAAAGATTGATTAGGCCAATGGGCTTGCATTTCAAGAAGGCCCATGTAACACATCCTGAACTGAAAGCCACCTTTTGCCTGCCAATACTTAGTGTAAAGAAGAATCTCTCATCCTCATCATATACAACTTTGGGTGTTATTACCAAAGGAACTGTCATTGAGGTCAATGTGAGTGAGCTGGGCCTTGTAACATAAGGGGGCAAGGTTATTTGGGGGAAATATGCCCAGGTTACCAACAATCCTGAAAATGATGGATACATAAATGCAGTCTTACTGGTTTGATAACCATTTCACACAAGTAACTTCTTGTTGAAGATTACACACCAATTGAGAAAACCAGCATTACTGTGATATTTCTGAATGCTACCAAACAGCCTTACATGTCTGCAGTCATTAAAAGAACTATTTATTAAATTGTACAAAATATTAAAAAAAAATGGAGGGGGTAGAGGGATCATGGTATGTGACATACCTTTTGGGGGCAGGACACAACTATAGAGGGACTTTACCTAACAAATGCAATCAGTGTAACCTGGTTCTTTGTGCACTCAATGAATCCCCAACAATTAAAAAATAAAAGGAATGAAAAATTGTATTTAAGTAAAGATAAGAGGTTTGGTGCCTGTAGCTCAGTGATTAGGGCACTGGCCAAATACATCAAGGCAGGTGAGTTTGAACCCAGCCCAGGCCTGCTAAATAACAATGACAACTGTAACAGAAAAATAGCCGGGCGTTGTGGTGGGTGCCTGTATTCCCAACTATTCAGGAGACTGAGGCAAGAGAATCGCTTAAGCCCAAGATTTTGAGGTTGCTGTGAGCTGTGATGGTACAGCACTCTACCAAGGGTGACATAGTGAGACTCTGTCTTGAAATAAATAATTTGACAAATTTCTACAAAGACTTACTAGAAAAAGATAAATTATGAAGGCTGACTTACTAAATGAATAGCCTTGCAATAATTAGAAAAGTTTATTTACAAACTGGCCTCAAGAAAAAAAAGTGGAGTTTTTTAAAAAAAAATGGTGCTGGTCTCCGTCAGTTTTATTGGTAAGCTCTTTTAAACTTCCAAAGAGCAGATAAATTTTATTCTATTCTAGAACATAACAAACCATATAAGGTGTCACAGTTTATCTTATGATGCTAGAATAACTCTGATTAAAAACAAAGCAAAACCCATAAAAACTGAAAATAGGATTCAGAAGAGAATTGCCAACCAATGTTACTATCAATATAGCTATAAAAATCCTTAATGAAATGTTGGTAAATAAAACCCAAAACTATATTTAAAGAATACTTATACCACGACAGGTAAGGTTTATTTTAGGAATGGAAGGTATTTTCATAATAGAAAATACAAAAAGACTTAAGAAGACTCTTACCAAAGCATCGATAGTGTTTATGTCTAAATGATGGGTTTATGAGTGTTTTTTAATTTTTTCAATGTGTTTATATGTATTAATAATTTCCAAATTCCCTACAGTGAATGTGAATATGCATTTTTAAAGTTTTATTTTATGAGGTGGGGTCTCACTCTGTTGCCCAGGCTGGAATGCAGTGGCATGATCATATCTCACTGTAGCCTCAAATCCCTGGACTCAAGGTATCCTCCTGTCTCAGCCTCTCAACTACAGGTATATTCCACCATGCCTGGCTAATTTTTAAAAATTTTTTTAGATGTGAGGTCTTGTTATATTGACCAGGCTGCTCATGAACTCCTAGCTTCAAGCTGTGTTCCCTGTCTCAGTCTCCCAAGTTGTTGGGATTAGAGGCATAAGCCACTGATGCACCTGTGGCTGCTTGTGTATTTAGAACAAATAAACAAAAATAGTACTGAGGTCATTTGACAATTCTTTTTTTTTTTTTTTTTTTTGAGACAGAGCCTCAATCTATCCACCTGGGTAGAGTGCCGTGGCATCACAGCTCACAGCAACCTCCAACTCCTGGGCTCAAGCGAGTCTCCTGCCTCAGCCTCCCAAGTAGCTGGGACCACAGGCGTCCGCCACAAAGCCCGGCTATTTTTTTAGTTGCCGCTATCATTGTTGTTTGGCGGGCCAGGCTGGATTCGAACCTGCCACCTTAGGTGTATGTGGCTGGCGCCTTAGCCACTTGAACCACAGGTGCTGAGCCCATTTGACAATTCTTATCTGAACATGTACTTTAAAACCTAGTGGTTTAATTACCCTCACTGTTAATTTCCTACTTTCTGCTATTCTTTATAATTCTTTACTTATTTTTTCATAAATTACACTGTCTTTGAATCAAGCTCTATATAATATTTGCTAGAATTTTAATTAGTAATATTTTAAATATGTAAAATAGTATGAATTTTTATCGTGATCAATACATAGGTCACTATGAACATTGTGAGACAGACTGTGTTACAGTCCATTATTTCACTTTAAGAAACACAGTTGATAACATCCTTTCTGATTCACCTGTGCAAGTTTCATCTTGTTTGACTAATCAGTGTTGCTGGGAGGGCTTCATTTGTTTTAAATTTCATGATTTTTGTATACCTCAAAACTTTTGTAGTGACCCCATATTCATTGTCAGGTTATTCTTTCATTTCTTTCTTGAGAAATGTATTGGTTTTGTTTATACTATATCTTCTAAGTCCTAAGTTTATTATTTTTGGATTATTTAATGATTTCTGTTGCTTTTATTAAAAGTGGATCTCTTTTAATACTACAATCCCTAACATCTTATGATTGATTTTTAATTTTATCAAGAATGTGAGGGTGGCGCCTGTGGCTCAGAGGGGTATGCCAGAGGCGGTCGGTTCAAACCCAGCCCTGGCCAAAAACTGCAAAAAAATGTGACTTTTTTTTTATGGACTTTTATTAGATAACCTGTAATTTAAACAATTTTATGGTGTAAATGTAACAAAATACTTAAACTGTTTATCTTAGTTGCTAAACATGTTTTTTACCCATAAATTAATGAGACTATATATGATATTTTTCTTAGAGTAATGGTAGTAACAGGAGTGAAGATGTCATTTGTGATCCTGAAGATGAATGGGAACCTGACATTACAAGTGCACCGGTTTCTTCATTTTCTAGAAGGAGGTAAAGGTGTTTTTATTACTGTTTTTCTTGTTTTAGAGAGAGAAATATATACTATAATTTGCTTATTTTACAAAAATTATCTATTGTCATAATGGATATGTCTATGAAGGAACCCAGAAATATAAAAAGAATAGTATGTAAGTGATTAAATTACAGAATTTAGAACATTAAATTGTTTGTCAGAAGAGGAACCAAAATGTTTAGTATTTCATCCTTAAGTGCAATTTAGAGGAACATAAATCTGATTTCCTATTTTAAAAAGAACAGTATTTTTTTACTTTTAAATTACCTTTTCTCAAGAACTTGGCACATTCTATGATATTTTATTATAAGTTATGGAATTTTTTTTTTTTTT